AATTAAGATTTGACTGTATTAATAAATCAAAAAATTCTAAAGGACAAATAAATGTTTCACTCATTGCTATGGACACAGCAAATATAAGAAACGGCCACTTTGCCTACCTTTGGGGACGTACTATCTGCAAAGTGAGCAATGAGATCAGTATTTTTTTGTTGAGATGTCTTAAGGCTTTTAATGAGTTTCAAGGCCAAACATTTCCTTAGAAAATGGAGTCTTCACAATTTAAATGGCAAATACATTTTTAAATAAAGTAACTTAACCAAAAAAGTTAAAGGAATATTAACTCAACACCTGTAAGTAAACCTGCAAAAAACGTTGATTAACAAGGGACAGAGAGGGAGAACGGCCCTGCAGAGTGGGACCAGAAGCTTTCCACTCTATTCCTTGTTCTGCCACAGCTATCTTGTATGATACTAGGCAAGTCACACAATCTCTCTGTTCTTCAGTTTCCCCATCTGTACAATGGGCATAGTAACATTTTACCCCACAGGGGTACTGTGAAGACAAATTCATTGTGCTGAAGAGTCATAGGAATGACTATAAAAATTAAATAAAATAAAGACATGCCTTTTATCTCAGTTTACCTTTAAAATGGATCGATGGAAGAATAAAGCAAGGAGCTGAACAAGGTCATAGTGCACATAACCCTCTTTCTTTTCAATACCAATAATATTGGGCGGATGGTACGGTTTATCTTTGGTGTAATCCACATGTTTATTCCAGGGAAAGAAGCCAAACTGGAAGAAGTACTTGATAACAATGGTCACCTGTACAGGAACAATGTATTGAGCACAATTATCCAAACACCATTCAACTGACAGAACAAGTAGCCTCATGTCAGTCACATGAAATACCATGCGACTATTTCATGGTTTTTTTAAAAATTAGATTAATTAGGTTTTCATACATTCCAATTAGAGGGGTCGCCATGAAAAAAATCAGTGTTGACCAACACGGGCCACCCACTGGCATTTGAGATACCACAGTTATCTTCCTATAAATACAATAGGCAGTCACTGCAGTATCGTGAGTACCACTAGATGGTAGCTATTAGTAGGTGTTGCCTTTTTATAACTAGAAGGAAGTCAGCCAAGTGCAGCACTGAAAAATCAAACAATTGCCTCTCACCTATCACACCAATGCCCAAGGATGTTATTTTTAGTATATATTTGTATTATAATGCCCAAAGGAGAGATGTACAAGCAGAGAAAAGAGACAATTCCTGCCCTGGGAGGCTTATTATTCAGTTTTCTTTGCAAAAAAGCATGTTATCTGTTCCCAATGTGTTTGACAAATAAGGATGTAGCAGTAATGGCATACCTCAGTGTAGACAATGGCTGTCATCCAGAAGCGTTTGCTAGGCCTGGGGACAGACAGCATGGCCCAAAGGAATATAAGGATGGGAAGCACAAGGGTAATCATGGAGGCAGAGATCATGTGATTAAGGATAATCACAAAATAACACACCATTTCTGACCGGGCCACCAGTGTATTATACAGAGCATAAACGAGAAGCAATAGTCGAGGCTGACCACTGTAGAATTTCTCGGATTCCTCCAGTTCTTCATCACGAAACATCCTGTGAGAAGAAGAGTTCCATGAATGACATCAATATGAAATTCACGAGAGCTGATTTTTATTATTACTGTTTTCTCCTTTATAATGGTTGCAGATTCTGTTGGAAAATCTGTAAACATGAACAGAATTTGGTATTCTAAACAAATATATGTAATATGGCCTGATGCTAAACAAATTCATGTAACATTAAAGCTCCAACAACAAGTTACAATAAACCATTTGGAAGTGCTAGTTTGGTATTTAATACATGAAAACAATCAGCTTTTCCACAAACACTTAATCATTGCACCTCATCTGCAAATCATGTTCTGGTAGTGAGCCATTGGATCCACTTCTGATCTACTTATACCAGGAATCAGGAATAACTCCACTAAAAGTCAGTACACTAATTTCACACCAGTGTAACTGTAAGTGAGATCAGAATGAATGCCACTTTTATTTTGGCCACCAGATGTGCCTTGTCTCCTTTGACTGTTTGGGTAAAACCCGACTGTTGTTAAAAAAAAACAAGTTGATGTTAAAAACATAATAAAATTATGACAAGTGTAAAATTATGACATGAACTCACATAGATTTAAATCTCTCTGCTTTTCCTGAGTGTCATTTATTTATTATTGTTTGTACAACAGTGGCGCCTAGGAGCTCTAGTCATGGGCCAGGACCTCACTGTACTAGGCACTGCACAATCACAGCATAAAAGAAGAGCTTTTTTTTTTTGTCTTGTCAACACTTTAAATGTTCCAGCCTATGGAAAGATTTGGTTGAATACTGGAAAAAGAAAGGGACATGGAAGCATAGAAGAAAAAGCACTTGATTTGCTCAGGCAGTGTAGTGCCTTTTGGTCCAGTTCTAACTGAGCTGATGGGATCATTTCTGGGATTGGAGATTCTGCCTGGCCCTAATGCAATTGCACTGTGGTAAAGGAAGGCATAAGGAGACTTTTCACATCTTATGTGGCCCGCATAAGGGCTGAGCAGAATTTCAGTGTCTGCAGTGTCTCCCTCCTTACCGTCCTTGGGAAGAATGATGTCACAAAGGAAGATGAGAAAGAAGAGCTATTGGCTCCAACTCCCAAGCACTGGCCAGCATAACTTGTTGGCTGCATGGTGGGGAGGGGAGTATGCTGCAGTCCATGAAGGAGTGCAGCATTGTCATTGGATTTCAACTGCAGAAATCCAATGGCAATGGGGGCTATTAACTAAGTGTGTGTTGGGGGAGAAGCAGAGATTTTTTTTCCAGGTAATTTTAGAAGGAAGGACCTTTCCCAAATAAAATTAAAACAATTAGAGAGAGAAAGCCCCACCCCAACAATTAAAACCAATTTTTGAGAGAAAAATCCTCACTAATAACAGCAGTAGTTAGACAGAAAACACCTCCTAAAACAGGAATTAAAGTATTTAGGAAAACTTCAAAGACTAAGTTTTTTCTTCTCTAAAGTTTCTTACTTGTTTAGAAGCAGCTCACTGGCAGTCAGGTCGTGTGTCAATGGAGGGAGGATAGTATCATTTAGCTTGTCAATTTGACTGTCGTCTGGGCTCACCATCATGAGGTTCTTGCCAGCACAGTCATCTTGGGAACTGAAGGAAAGATGTTCAAAGCTGACAGCTTTGCTGTATGAAGGTGGGACTTCGGCATTGCCATCCACAGCAGAGTATGATGGCACGTCAGTATCAGGAGTGTATGCAGCTCCTTCTGAATCCAAGCCATAATCATCCACCTCATCCTCTCGTCTTGATGTAGAACCTTCCCCTTCTTCTTCATGCTCCCCTTCTACTTCTTCAATGGTTTCTGTTGTGCCCTGACGAGAATACAGCATGGTGACCTGGGTAGGTTCACTGTCAGGAACAGGAGGAAGAAAAAGGATTTCTCTCTTACCACAATTACTCAGAAAACTTTGTTAACTTTGTTTTGAGGTTGAAATATTGGCGAGCCCTCACTCTGCTCCCAAACTTTGAAAATGCACTGCCGTTGGCAGAAGATGTACTGCGGTCACCTTTTCCTTACACAAAAAACACTGATCCATTTGCACACGGAGTGATTGCTTGTTGAGCTTGCAGTGATTCAATACAGTTCCAAACCAAGACAAGACAAATTAATGCTGACAAAGAGGGAATTTGCACACAATTTTCTTAGAACAAACAAATGCTAAACACAACTAGAGCATATTTCTACATTTGTTTCAAGTGAGCTGCATGATGCTACAGTATAATATAGGAATGCATATACTTCATTGTAAATGTAACATTTCTAACAATCATAGCTTTATCATTTCAAAACTGCAGCTTGCAGGCAAAATTCAGTTGGACACACAGAATCTATTCCCTCATGTTTCATGCTATATCTATATGAAAGGATAGGCCAATTGCAAACATGGAGTAGTGCCATCCAGAGTAAATAACTGTTTGAGTAGCAGGGTATTATGGTATCTTACCTTCAGATCACTACATTTTTCTTCTTCACTTCTTTGTCTTACCTGCTTCTTTCCTCTTCTGTGTGTACTTCCCCTCTTTTCACATTGTTCTTACTCAATCTTATCTGCTCACCTATCTCTCTGCTTCTCCACCTTGCTTGACAAAGCTCTACTCTGCTTTATGTGTTTTTCATCTTCCCTGACACCACTCTGTGTTTGCTTCTCTCTGTACCAGCTTCTCAGCTGGTGTAAATTAGTGCAGCTTATTGACTTAACTGAGAATCTGGCTATCCTCCTTCAGCTACTTTCCTGTCCTTGCTTTGCTTTCTGTCTTCTTTTGGTTATGCTCCACTCTTCCTTTATTCCTAGTTTCTTCTCTTTCTTCGTTTCCCATATGTCTGTTAGCCCCCACCCCAGCTCCAACAATCAGATAATAAAAAGAACAACATGGGTTTTACAGCTCGCCAAAGAGACAGAGGTTGAAATACTGGCTGGTAATAGTAGAGATTCCTTTGACTTCACTAGGATTTTACCCAATACATATATATAAAATAAACTTGCTATTGTAAAAGCCAGTGGACAATACTACCTCCTGCCAAAATTCAAAATAGCTTTCTATACCCTTTTCCTTTGAAACCACTTTCATACTTACTGTAGCTATGTTATGTCACCTTTTAACTTCTAGTGAGAGTTTTCAGAAGTAAACTGATGGTAGCTGTTGCTTGAATTTACATTTTGATGATTCTTAATAGTAATCATTCCTTTAAAGATGATTAATGAGTGAGAATGTAAAATGCTGAATTTCAAAATAAATCAACACCCAGAAGTTGCTAAAACAGTGTGCAATATGGAAGTAGAATGATTTAATATGCCATACAATTTTATTTTTGAAGTGATATTTGAAACATTGTTTTTATATCCTGAAGCCATATAAAATGTAGACAATTTTAGTCTTGAGTTGCAAAACTGAGCGAACAGCTCTGAAACACTTCTCTAATATGTTGTTTCTTTTAGAATTTATATTGCTTGCTATCTTTTCTTAATAATTTCCCTGTCTTAATTCCAAAACTTCAGAGTCTGTAAATCAGTGGAAGAGAATTCAAAATACATTTAACAATTCTTTCCTATGAAGAGAGTAACTAAAAATTAAAGGAGCCTGGCCAAAATTTTCATAGATAGGTGCCTAAAATTAGATTCCTAAATCCATATTTAGGTACTTGATTATTTGAAGAGCTGAGCTCCCATAAATTCCACTGAAGTCAATCGGAGCTGCTGGGGGTTCAGCACCTTTGAAAATGAGTCCCTTTTTTATTGAGGATGCAGGAGCCAATTGTCAAAGGTCAAAGTTACGGATCAAGTTATAATGAATAAAAGAATAGTGGATTTTTTTTTTTTTTAAAAAGCAAAACAACAAATAAGTAACTGGTTTATGATACTTTTTTGTACCTCAAAGTCTTGTCACAATATACAAGGGAATAAAGCTTCCAATAAGCATGCAAATTGTTTTAAACACACACAACTGCACACGTATACAATGCCACATGTAGAATGGCCAGGGTAAACGAGTGAACAAAGCATGCATGAGTTAAGCACCTTGACACTATACTGCCACTGTCAGCTGATGAGGAGGACATATCCATGCTGTACATTTTACGAAGCCTAGGTCGAGCGCGCTCACTTGTTTTAGGAACAGTGTCTGGTCCATCTAAATCATCAAGGGTTGATTGCCTTGAGAACAGCATGGTTGCTTCAGTGTAGCAGCTAGCAGCGCAAACAGTTATAAACACAATGTTAAATACCAATGACATTACTTTATATATAATTCAGTAAATGAATGTGCTCGCCATGCAGAAAACACAGACACAAAGACAAAAGGTTCAGAGAGAAGATAAGGACCTGATTAGAGTCACCACCAAAACCAAATTCTTATGTACAGCCGGTTTGTGACTATAAAAATACAGAAGCCATAACTACTAATCATAAAATGTAATCACTATGCATATAGATATGGGAATCAATATAGTCTCAAAGTTCCCATACTGCCTAGAGACAATAACTTTGTACAAGTGAGTTTTTACTTTTGTTTACTTTGAATAAAAATTCCAAAAATTCAATTAAAACATTTTGGAAGCTGATTTCCTCTGTACAATATCTATTTTATTAAAAATAGATTCTGTGGAATTCTTTTATATGGGTGCAGGCCAATTTCCTAAAAGAGCTTTCAAAATTAAAAAAACCCTCATGTTCTACTAATAGAAAAAACAGTTTTCATATACTAGCCAGTTCTCTTTCAGCACAAAAGAGCCAAATCAGTACTTACTTGATGAATGCCAAGTATAATTACCATTGCTTTTGATTTTGTATCTAATATTATATTTGTATCTAATGTGATATTGTATAATATTGACATTGATAATCATTTTAAGAAAATTTTATTTATTTTGAGTCATTTAAAAAAATATTTCTCCCATTATTTCAAAATTTGTAAAGCACACAATATCAAAGAAAGGACATTTTCAGTTAAACCCTTATCTCCTTTCACTTGTCACTACAATGGGACAACAGAGGCATATACTATACATTCAGGATGCTATTGGATAAAATGAGAAGTGGATGAGTTATGAAAAAGACAACACTAATGTAAATACAAACATTAGCAACGGGAAGGAAGCAAATACATTAATGACATATGGTAGGTAACCGCAATGTATTTTGCTGTAATTGTGAATGAAGTATGCAGATGTGCATGAACTGAGTTGAGGGAACTATCTGGAGTTTTAATCCAGGCAGTCTCCTCTCTGGGTCTCTAAGATTCATACGGGAGAAAAAAAAGCACATAAACAATGAGGGGTGATCCACACTTACGAGCTGATCCTGCACCACTGAAGTCAGTGGGACTTTTCCCATTGACTTCAGTGGGTGTAGGATTGAGCACCTGGAAGGTCCACACTATACATGGATCTATAGGGCACTCTACCTCTAATTCTTTAAATGAGATTTTTGGTATTGAATTACAGGGAGCTGTCAGCAGACTGTGTACTTTTTAATGATATTTTAGTGTCCTTTTTAAATCCAAACTCCATCTCACCATCTTTGTTGGGAGCTGGGTTTCTTTTCTGTAAGCATCTAGAGGCAGATTTGTAAAGGTATTTAGGCAATAAGCACCTTGTGGGATTTTCAAAAGCATCTAAAGCAAATTAGGCATCTAACAACCATTGAAATCAAGCACTTTTGAAAATATGGCCCGTTGCCTTTTTTCACTTTGGTGTTTAGTTAACCCACAATGTAGTTATTACCTTGTAAAGTTACAAGTTCCTCTCTAAACATATATGTGTGTGTATGTAGACATGTTGTCTTGAAAATAACAGTGGGGAGATACAAAGAAGGGAAACTAAGTAACTCAAGCTCTTGTGCCAGGAACAAAAGCTGACTCTTATACCATAAGGAGTGCCTCCACTGGTAAATTTTCATTGAAAAAATGTATTCCAGTTTCCCTCAACTGCTCCCCACCTGGAGGCCTTGATCCGGCTCCTGTTGAAGTCAATGGCAAAACAACTACTGATTTAATTAGGTGCAAGATTAGGCTCCGAGTTAGTCGTTGCAATGATTTTGATTACACACATGTTTAAGGAAAGAACAGCTCAGTGATCAGAAGGAAAATCTACGTCTACTGAGCAGCTGATCAGAATCCTCCAAGGTTTGGAAAGCGGCACAAGATTATACTCATAGCACAGTAAGTGTGCTTCCGAATGTGTAGCAATCTACACCACCAATAAGCTGGTAAGGAGGATATGATCTATATTGTGATGTACAATTGGCAAAGTTTGTGTTGACTCAGTCACTAACCAGCACATACATTTATCCAGGCATATCCTTCCAGGTCTCTTTTCAAATTGGCATCTCTAGAGACTTTGAAAAGCATTAACTTCTTTGAAACCATTCAAAGAATAGGTATTTTAAATTGAAATGTGCATTAAAAGCCCAAGTCAAAGTATTTGTAAATGAACTTAATCAGCTATCCATTACAAATGGGGATATATTTAGCATAGATGTTTTTATTCTGAATGATAGGATTGGGTAAGAAATTTCCCATTCTGCTAGCTGCATTTCCAACAATGCTACCTTCCCTGGATGACTTATTAGCCAAATTTTAATACCTACAATTCGTGGGCCAGTTAATCACTGTAAATAGGCATTGAAGTTATTGTTACTAAAAACATTCTTGGAGTTTTCACACAGCTTTGGAATAAATTGCCTGGTGGCAAACTAGAGAATGGGGCGTGGCCAGCACCGGCTGTGTTACAACACAGAGCTGCCTACAGAACTGCAGAGGGGAAGGAAACAGAATTGTGCGAGACTCTAGGATGAAGAAAAGGTTTGTTGAGAGCTCCTGAGCATCACACTGTTCCTATTAAAGTCAAAGGAAGCTGCAAGAGCTCGTTAGGTGCTGGATACCATTCTGGATTTGATTCTTGTTTTGGCATCTAAAAGGTGAAATCCTGACTCTGCAGAAGTCAGTTGGAGCTTTGCATTTGACTTTAATGGCGCTAGAGTTTTACCCTCTATTTCAGGGGTGGCCAAACCTATTGACCCCCTGAGCTGCATACAACAGTCTTCAGAAGTTTGAGAGCTGGGGCACACCTACCGGGGCTCAGGGCTTCATCCCCGCTCTTGTTGAAGCCCTGAGACCCCGCTCCCCACTGAGCAGAAGCCCCTACCCCACCACCCCACTGCAAAGCAGAGGTCCCAAGTTCCTCGTCGCCCAACTCTGGTAGTGGACAATAGGGGTGTGTGTGTGTGTGTGGAGGGCTCTGCGAGCTGCACTTTAATAATAAAAGAGCCGCATGTGGCTTGCGAGCTGCAGTTTGGCCACCACTGCTCTATTTCTTTGTAATCTTAGGCCGCATTCCACAAAAGACAACTAATTGGACTTTATCAGCTCCCAGCCATTTTACCTAAATTCATAAGGTATTTAGTTAATAAGTTAACTGGAAATAAAGGGCAATGAGTTCATTATGATGCCGGCTTGAAATATTTTCTGGCAGGGCACAGGAAACAACTAGCTATAAGAGGGCAAAATTGTCTTCTCATCTCTTCTGTGCCAAACTCCACTGCCTACAATGTCCTCACTTTGCATTTAAGATGTCCAGTGCCATCAAAAGTGCCTAAAGCATCAAATATACAATAGGGATCCACAATGGACAGATCCACTCTTGATTAGAGAGAAGAATTTTCCCCTTAAAATTTTAAAAATTAATATGATAATTTTACTGACAGGACCTTTATAGACGTCAGACAGATGTTTCAGTGTGTAATATTTTAAAGTGTAACTGCCTAGTTTTCTTTTTCAGAAAATAGTCAAGCAGACTCCAGTAGAATTCAATGGACATTTGCTTGAGTATAAACTGAGTTAAGATTTAATTATTTTAATTCTGAAATAAGCATCCAGTTTCCCCCCGCATTACTAAGCACCTTATTAGACCAATCACTTATATGCCGAATAAAATCCATAAACATGTGGTCCACTGACTATCTAGAATGAAAACTTTGTATTGGGACAAACTAAAGACCAAAACAACAACTTAATTATAGAGGAAACTGTCCCTTGGAGCATCCAGATATTGCTTAATCTTCAAGTGATGAAACAGGGATTAATCTCAGTCATTCTGAGGCTTGGAAATGAATTGGTATATAATGGTTAAAAAATTATTATTTGAATCAGATTCACTGGAAGTGAAAAGTACCAGTAGGAAAGAAAGTTTATTGGCTAATACAGAAACAATATGAGTATAACAGAAGTTTTCACAAAAATAATAGAACTGTATATGAGAGCATGTTAAATATAAAGCCCAAACTGATGCTTGATGATGTCAATTCGTGTTTTGTCATTAACTTCAACTGGAACAGAATTGGCCTTACAATTAAGAAACACTGGCATATTTTAAAAAGTAATCTTGTTGTTGACAGGACAAGCTCTATATTTAGCAAAGAAAAAAAATTAGCAAAGGAACTGGTGCAAAATCTGATGAGCTTTTGAGTGAGGTTTTTGAGATGATAAAGTTCTCTCACCGTTGTTTGGGCAATGCAAAATGTCACTCACTTGTGATCTGCAATACTTTGCATTGCTAAAACAGCTCATGAGACCTCTTCATAATCCCAGAAAGAGACAGGCAAGGATGCTTTTATAAACAGACAGAAGATCTATCATTAGATCTAAGTGACTGGTTATTGCTTCCTCCATTTAGAGGTCATTAGTGATGCAGCAGATGCACATACTCCACAAACACTACTGATACACAAACATGTAAATATCTATTTCCAGGAAAAGAGTTTGAGATTAGAGAATCAATGGTGACAATACTTCTGTTGTTCATTTGTTAATGTGCCCTTGTGACATCTTATTTTGGGGAAACAAAGTTTTTTCAAAGATTGTATTAGTGGGCATACAACAACTGTTAAAATAGGTATTATGATTTATCTTCTTGCCCAGCTTTGGTTCACCATCACCCTCAAAGTCGAAAGGTTTGAAAGGAGCAAGTGAGGTGTCACTCAAAAGGGGGGTTGGGGTTAGCGGGGAGGAAAGTGGGAGGAAAAGAGGTTATTCCAACCAGAATTGCTTGGATCTCAACAGTGGATACAATTTTACTACAGAGACTGAATTCAAATATTGAATTTACAAGATTTACATAATTTTTTAAATTATGTTTGGCAACTGACTTCCTTTTATAAAACAAAATTACCCTCCCCAACATATGGCTTTCATTGTTGTCAGCACTCCAGCTAACACTGCCATATTGCTACTACACACTGCTAAACAGCTGATTTCAATTTCTACTGTACACCAGTGCAGTATATATTGGGTAACGTGACTGAAATATTATTTAATGAAAATGGTTTTGTACCTATAAGTACTCTCTCTTTAAATGAGCAGACAAATCCTGAGAGCCAAATTCTACCACTTAGATATCCATGTGAGACTCGAAGTGAAGTCAATGGGTCTTGCATTCAGGTGAGAGCAGAATTTGGCTGAATGATGTTTTTCCTATACTGTCTGACCCCAATGAATTTTCAGACAACACATGCAGGTGCTATTTCTCCTGGTAGTTAGCCATGAGGAAATGTGTGCTGGCTTTATTACTCCATGAAATAAAGAATTTTGACGGTTAAACTGCAGTAAACTATTGAATGTCTTATGAGTGCCAGCTATTTTTTTTTTTTTTTTTACTAGCCTGTGGAAATGCTGGGTAATTTTGTGGGTATTTTGTTTATGCACATTGCTTACACGTTTTTATTTCAAATAAGTGTTCAAACATTCAGTTACACTTACTTGTGAATAAACTATGAAAGGAAGACAAGCCCTCCACTATTTTTATCCTGTTAACCTCTGACCATATGTCATTAGTAAAAGCTGAGCAGAGTTACTGTACATACAAGCAACTGAGTTTGCAGGGGAGTATCAAGTGTGAGAGGCTACTGCCACGCTTCAGAAAAGAAGAAACTGCAGAAAGCAACTATCAGATTATCAGAGGTCTCCCCCCGCTTCTGACACTGTAGAACAACTTCTGCAGGATCTCAAAGGTCAAAAACGCATTGGACACAGAGAAAACAGGATGTTCTTGTAACACGGGGAAGTGGATGAGTGAGAGTCTGTGCATGTGCGAAACAGCAAGGATGTGCTAAGGCTTTGGCACTGAGCTCTGCAGCATCTCTCTCCAGGGAAGTGTGGAAAGGGAAGGTGGGTTTTTACTTCTGGGGGGATTCTGCATGACTGTGTGCCCACAGAAAACGCCCCCTCTCCCGCAGAATTTTTTTGGGGGGTGGGGATTTCCCCCTCCAAACAGAGGTGAGGCATTGGGGGGGGGCACATGGGGTTATGTGCCACTGCCTCCCATTTGCCTTTGTCTTGTGAGGAAAAATTATATTCCCTCAAACCCATGTAGTTTCCCAGTACAAAGTCCTTTTACTCAGGCTATGTTCAGGAGACTAGAATTTAATCGTCCAGAACAAAACATTGGTAATAAATGATGGAATTCCTTCATTCAGTGCCTATTCTCACAATCAAAGTGAAATACCACGAAACTGTCTTCAGTATATTAATCTCTGTAAAATAGTTCAAAAACCCTCTAGAAGCTTGTTATTTGGTATTGATATGCAGAGGAAAATTAGTTCAGCCAGATGTTCCTCCCAGAGCTTGGTGACTGTGTTGCTCCTGCAAAATATCCATGCAGCCCCTCGGCTGTGCAGGAAAAGGACTGAGGTTAAGGGTAAGAGGGAACTGCACTAAGGAGTATGTCCCCAAACCTCCTTCAAAACTGCAGACAAATGGAGAGAGAATGGTGCTTGAGGTAGCACTAGCATGAGTGGCATTCAGTGACTCCTCTCCGCAGAGTCATAGATCATAATTGAGAGCACTGAGCCAATGACAGCATGGCAATTGCTCCACTGCAGAGTGTAGACAGGAACCATCCATGCAGCTGCCCAGTACCCATGAGCTTAGTGACCAGGATCCCTTCAGATTCCTGGCTTTGTCTACCTTTTGGGGCTCTGCTCCATGCTCCCTGCCTACTTTGCACTCCAGCCAGGTCCTGTGGACTGGTGGAGGGGGGGGTTGGTGGGCGAGTTGGGAGAATAAGAATTAATTCACTCCCTTTGTGCACTTTTGCATAGAGGGAAACGCATGGGTATGTCAATCCGATCATCTTTTATCTACTGTACAGTGAGTGCTAAATCTGATAAATCAAAGGGTTCTTCAACTTCAGATGTGAAATCCAACATTATGCAACAATTTCTTAACATAATTTCTATCACATGATTTTTCTATCTATTCAAAAACAAGTGCTTTGTTTTTACAACAAAATACCTGGAAATACTGTCATGAGAAGCAGCTGAATCTAAACTATCCATCCTCTCAGATGCCTGTAAACTAGAATCTTGACCAGGATTTTCATCAATTGTGTCCAGTCCTGATTCCCTAGAAAGCTTCATCATATGGTTCTGGTAATACATATGGATGCTCTCACGAGTTGGAACATTCCCCTGAGAAAGAGAGAAGAGCTATAGTAAGGCATTTGTGCTGTGAGAGATTTTGGTTTCTTCAGTTATTTGGCTGCATGAAATGAGTCTTTGCAAAGAACAAACTGGCAAAAGCCCAAATTTCCTCAAGCACATTTCAGTCAGAGTCAGATTATGATCTCATTTACTAAGATGTAATTGAAATAAAAATGTGTTCATAAAACTTTCCCTGTAAAAACAGGCTTCACTATCTATTCTCTCAATGACTTCCCAGTCAAATTTGTCAACGAAAGGATGGTTTCATTAACAGTAAGCACAACCCTGAGCACAGGAGCCAAGCAGACGTCTTTCTGGCTATCACAACTTTACTGATGTTTCCTAAGGCCAAACAGTATCCAATTCACTCCACCAATAGCTGTATTGACTTTGGAACATGCATTGAGAAAGAAGTTTGCTATTTTGCATAGTCATTTTTCTGAGTTTTATGGAGACTTTATGCACAGATTTCCTTAGTTCAGTAAAGTGTTCAATTATAAATTACATGAAAATATGTTGCTGTTCCTTTGCTAGTATTACTTGTTTGAATTTCAGTTCTCTCTCTCTAAATTAAATTTGATTCAAAACTTTCTAAATTTGAAATCTTGACAAAAAAGAAACACATTTTAACCAAAAGTTTTGAGGAAAAAAAATATTTACCCACTGCTTCCACAGTGAAATTATAATCAAGTGTCTGTGACATTATGACCCTTTGCCTTTTAAATATTTATAAGGGCACGCATTCAGCATTATAGCTTTTTTGTAGGAACATAATAAAGGAGAATGGCTGTGAAAGCAAAAGCACTCTATGTTTTAAATGTACATACAGGAGTGACCATATTAATTCATATGATAAGCCACACATGCCCAGTGTGAGCTGCATTTCTAGGAGTCTGAGCAGATCCAGATTGAGCCAAATATTTGAGCCGTTATGAACAATGCTAGGCCTTCCTCTCTCCTGATGTGATTTCTGAATGTCTACTATAAATCCCTCTCCTCAATGGGTGTTTCAGAATTAAATCCCTAAGCACATTTGTTTTTCCAATCAGCCGCTTTGGGCTCAGAGACAGAGTGCTGAAACTATCTGTATAGTGGAGGTGCTGAGAGTCATTGAACCAAACTGTAAACCCCGTATATGATGGAAACCACTTCAAGCCAAGGGGTTACAATACCCCTAGTTCCAGCACATATGCTCAGAACCACAGTTCTCGAGATGTATCTGTTTTTGTTTTCTTGAAATAGAATGCAACAGAGGATTACAGAAGTCAGACTATTTCTAAAATCTGTGTAAGTGAGACTTTTACAAATTTCCATTTCTAGTACACTGCCTCATATTAAGTTGAAAAGATAAACCTCTCATTTATCACTGCAATGCAAATGGTACGAGCAAAAGTAAAGCACAACGTATGTTACCTTTTTAATTTCCCTGGTCAGCATGCATCTCTCAATTCTCAGCACAGTAGAGATATCAATGTGCTCTCTTGAAATGGAATTGAGCCAAGCTGTAAAACTATCTAGAGTTGCCAGGAAAAGGACCCAGGTGAACTTCAAAATATTAAATATTCTTTTGATGATATTATCTGAGAGGAGAAATAAGTGATAGAGTTAATGAACATAAACTTATTTTATTCACATGATGATCCTGTTCTGACATTTCACAAGAGCTAGTTCAATTTTTACTTTATTGAATATAATAATCCAGGCTGCAAGACCTCTCTCTATCAGCAACAGGAATGTTTGGAAATGGCTGAAAGCCATGTGGTTTGTTGGGGCTATCTTCCTACCTTTCTATGGCCAGGACTACCCAGGAACACTCAGGAAACTTAAAGTGAATCAACTAAAAGTGTGAAGTCAATGTGCGTAAATTTATACGTATCAATACCCCCACCTACCCCACAACCCTCCCAATGTGGCTGCTCTTATTCAGAAATAAAATGGCCTTAGTTTGTTGTAACTTAATCCTGGGGTGGGGGGGGGGGGGGTTAACAAACTTAAGTTTATGTGCATTGAATTCACACCTTTAGTCAATTTGTCTGAAGTTTCCTGAATGTTCCTGTGTAGACATGGCCTGTCTGACTAGTGTTTGTAATCTTGGAATGCCTTTTTCTCCTTTAAAAGGTTGATCTTGCTAGTCACATAAGTAATCGTCACCAGCTTCAGAGGAACTCCTCAAGTGTGGAAGGGTTTTGCAGGGTAAAGCCCTAAGGGTTAAGGGTTAAGCATCTACTAAGAGGTGCAGACAGCCTCAGTTCCAGCAGCTGAATGGAAGTTGTGGGCACTCAGCACCTTGTAGAACTGGGCACTTTATTCATCCATTCGGTACATTCATTTTCTTCTGTCCAGTGGAATTTCTCCTAGCCAGTTCTCCTTTCATGCCTGGACCTTGCTAGCCTGAGCTGGTATCTTTGACCTGCCTACAGTTATTACTCTTGTATCTGGGATACACGGCCTCATCTCATGAACCCTCTTTCTCACATATTCTGCACTGTGTAGTCAGTTGACTTCTACTCTCAAGTCACTTCACTAGCTGAAATCTTACATATATATTCCTCTTCCACAATAAGAGGTAAATGTTGCAAGGAGCAGTGTTTAACAACCACTGCATCTAAACATACAACAGTAGTTTTAGTTGGAATTCTTTTTATGGTTTCAATTCAGCAAATTTGGATTGAGGAGTACTTTCTTACTTGAATAGTGCTGTTGGCACTATCAGTGGTACTTCTCATATGAGTAGGTGCTCCTCTGGGTATTTCGGGGTTTATAGAATCATGCCACTATTTGCAACCCATCTCCATCCCACCCTCTCATAGTTTGACAATGCTTTATGTGCTGCACAAAAGTGCTGAAATCCTCTTTCCAAACCAAAATCTAGCCCTATGTTGTGGTTTCCAAATCTGAAAGAACCAGATATATGTATCTAATGCTGACCTAGTGGAAGAATCTGCAATATGCAGCTAAAATGTTTACAGTATTTATTACGGAATGGACCTATGTCAGCATTATAGCTCTGCTGTTGAGAAGCTTTTTAATAGTGTCAGTAACCAATGTCACCAGACTATGTTGTTCAGCACTTTGGGATGTGAGTAGTTAGTGTTTTAAAAGGCATGCAAAAGTTGTACACTAACAAAGTAATATGCAGTAGATACCTAGAAATGTTAAAAACAGATGCATTTCTAATTCAGGGAGCCACCCCACTGTTGAATGATTCCATTGACCCTCCCCCCGTCTCCCCCACTTTTTTTGCATTACCGTTATCCAATTGCTGTTTTCACTTCCAGTGCTTTTCTATATTATTTGGGTTTGGAGGGATTTTATAATTTACTAACCAAAGCATTATTCCTACATACTTTTAGGTACTCATATTTGGGCTAACCAAAATCTTATCACTATAAGTTAAAGGTAAAGTTTAATTTTTGTTTCTGATGAGCACTGCAATTTCTTTAAACTTCAGACATAGATGCCAACTCCATGGGTGCTCCAGAGTTGGAAAAAAAATAGTGGGTGCTCAGCACCCACTGGCAGCCCCCCCAAATCAGCTCCTCTCCCCCCCCCCCAGCACCTTCTGCTCGCCAGAGATCAGCTGTTCAGCAGCATGCAGGAGGTGCTGGGGGGAGGGTGTGGAACTGGGCGGGGCAAGGGTGGAGGTTTGGGGGAAGAGGTGGATTGGGGGCAGGGCCTGGGGTGGAGCAGGGGTCGAGTATCCCCTGGCAACTCAAAAATGGTGCCTATGACTTCAGATGTACTCCTGCACAGTTTAAAAGAAAATGTGATTCTCTCTCTCTCTCGCATACACACACAGAGCATGTATGCAGACAGTATATATTGTATTGAAACATGCCCTCACAATTGATGGGGTACCATTTACACTATTGAGATTAATTGTGGGGCAGTCTCTGCTTACTTACAAACAAGAAGTCTATTTTACTATTCAGCTATTATAGGTATCCTATGGTCTCACTGAGATGCTTTGCCAGTGACTTCCAATCTAATCTAGAAGGTCATTTTTCTCTCAGGATTGGAGGTGATGTAGTATACATTTTTAATGAGTCTGTGGCTGTTCTGTTCTCTGTCACCTTTTAAAAACAATCTTTTGGGGATCGATCACATGTAAACATCTCCAGAAAGGGAATGATTTATTTTCTGGAGAGACTGTTATACTTAAAGGGTCAAATACTGAGAGAGAATGAAAACCTGCTGCCCCCATTGACTTTAATGGGAGTAGCAGGTGCCTAGCAATTTGGTCCAAAGCTGTTAACTAGAATAACCCTTTCTAATAATGTTTCCCTCCAGTTTTGGAAACACTTCCTTCAATGAGTTTTATCTAGGGGATGGGTGAAACAGTTAAAATCAAATCTGAAAGATGTTTCATGCTTGCTCCAATCAAACCCAATAATAATCCAATTAGCATCAAATTTCCCTTTCCTCAACCCTCATCAGACCATCCACATTCACTGAAATTCATCTCCGTATGTTAGTTGACCAAGCTACGCCATGAGATAGTAAAAGCCGGAAGAAAGTAAGAACCTTTTCTTCTTTTGAGAAGTGCTGATCTTGTGGGAAAGGGACAAGGTATCTCATGCTTCTGACCTTTGCTACCTTATGGTTCACTCTGCGGCACAAGTTTTGCTGGAGAGTAGAATGCCCTTTTCATTATAAATACAGGAGATAAATAGCTCTAGAAGAGAAGGTCACACTGCAGCAGGTGAGAACGGGTCAAGGCTAGACTGAAGAGGAAGCCACCATCCTTCTATTCACACCACCTGAAGCCAAAGAGCCAGTCCTGAGGATCTGACTCACATTGTTAGTTTTAGGATGCGGCATAGCTGTACTCATTTCTTAAGTTGGAGAAACCCTTTACCAGCTTATTGTTATTGGCCAAGTTTTTGGCTGCCTCTTGTGAGTTGCTGAGCACTCTCAAGTTCCATTGGAAGTTAGAATCAATGGGATTTAAGGTCATTCATTACCTTGCAGGAGACATTCAACTTCTTGCAGTATTGGTCCCTAACTGAGCCAGAACAGGGTGCACAATACATAATAAATATAGGGTCCTGGCTCTACTGGTCTTAAATTTTGAAGGCCAGATCCTGCACAAGAAAAGTCAACGCAAGTTTTGGCACTGACTTGAACGGAAGCAGGACTGAATCCTAGATAGGCATAATACAGTACACAAATATATAATACATATACATCCACTGACCAGAAGACTATGCAAATGTTGATGTCTGTTTGATACATTGGGGAAGAGCTTGAGAGTATTTGCTTCTATTGTGAAAGACCTTTTCCTTGGGATTTTTAAAACTACTGGATAAAACACCTGAAAGTGAGAACACTTCTGTACTGTCAGGGAAATGGACTGGATGATTTAGTAGGTCATGACCTCTTCCTCTGTGATTTCATGAATGAATATGTCTGTATTTGGTTAGACTAGAGTCAGTTGTGATTCTGACTGAACAGATGAAAGCTGGAGAGAATCACGTTGCTTGTATGTTGCCGTTGGGTTACTTACATATTGACCACATGGTAACGCCATTTATCCCCGCAATCACAATTACAATGCAATACTAGTGCAGCCTTCCTTCTGCCTGCATACCTGGCCCATCTGATTTCTTTTTGACAGGTTCATCTTCTCTCTCTTCATGTTCTACATCAGTAGCACCTGCCAAATTAAAATATAAGCAATGAGTAAAGCCTTTCCCACAGAGGTTAACATGTAAATCCCACTAGAATTGAAGAGAGATTTCATGGTTATTAAAAAGTACTTGGATACATCCAGTCTTAGCAGAACAGGTTTCTACAGATCTCACAGGATCCAAGTGGGAGAAAACATTCTAACAACATAGTTGGAGTTGGTCCATGAATGATACGGTTTTATTTTTTGTAAGGACATTTTGTTTATCAATTACTTTAAAAGCCAGATCCTTAGCTGGTGTAAATCAATGCAGTTGCATAGATTTCAACCGAGTTATGCCTGTTTACAGCTGCTGAAGATCTAGCCTTAAAAGTTTGCTGGTTAATCCTCTAGAAACTTTAATATCCTAGCATACCTTTTTAAACCTACATTTGCCTTTAACTCATTGAACTCTAATACTTTCATGCTGATTGAGAATAAATGAATTGACAACAGCATGAAGATGGACCCGATTAGCTGAAACAAAGCAGAAGGGTTGTTTTGAATCTATCATGTGCTGTTTTATTTAAGCGTAACAGTCGTTATAGTGCAGATATTTGCCATTAAAAAAAAATCACAGACATGACTAAGTGGGTCAAAGAAGTGACCCAATAGTATCTGATATATTAACATAGCAGTTGTATCTTTAGTGACAGAAGAGAATTAAATAAGTACCAGAGGAAGGTACCGATAGAGGGACTTCTAATGTAACTGCTTCCGGATGAATATTTTTTTCAAATACACATTGGCAAAAATACTTCTGATGAGTATTTCTGTTTTTTTAAATGCAGCAAAAACTCAAGAATTGTAAATCATTTACAAACTAAACATTTCAGAGTACATAAACAGTTTTGTGATGCTAAGAAAAGAATGTTAAATTTGAATGTTTTTTCTTTGCTGCCTGCCAAATGCTGCCTAACAAAAGCCTTATTAAAATCAAGATATATCACATTTACTGCTTCCAAACTATCCACTAGGCCAGTAACCCTGTCAAAGAAGGAAATTAGGTTGGCCTTACATGATTTGTTTTTGACAGATCCATGCTGGCTATTCCTTAAAATTTCCTTATCCTCTAGGTGTTTACAATTTGCTTGTTTAATAATTTGTTCCAGTATCTTTCCAGGTATCAAAGTTAGGCTGACTGATCTATAATTCCCTGGGTCCTCTTTGTTCCCCCTTTTAAAGATAGGCACTGTGTCTGTCCTTCTCCAGTCCTCTGGGACCTCATCCATCCTCCATGAATGCTCAAATATAATTCTTCCAGCTAGTTCTTTAAGTACACTAGGATGAATTTCATCACGTCCTGCTGATTGGAATACATCTAAGATATACACATATTTTTTAACCTGTTCTTTCCCTATATAGGCTTGTGTTCCTTCCTCCTTGCTGGTACATGTTAAATGTTTGGTCACGATTAATCTTTTTAGTATGGTTGCCTGCTACACCAGGGATTGAAAGAAGAATGAATTTTTGCTTCGTTTGTTTGTTTAAAGGGGACTTCTGAAGACCATCCAAAAGCATACACACCATCCCCAGATCCTTTCCGCCTTCGCTTGTCTTCCTTCCCAAACTTTTTCTTCTCTTTGCGCCTCTGTCGAAGTGCAGTTTTAGGATCAGTAATCCAGGCCTGATACACAAACTGGAGGAAACAAACTCATTTATTTCCAGATTCTTCATGTTTTAAAAGTAAACAGTAAAGTAAAACACACGCAGGAATACATATTTAGGGTAAACAGAGGGGTGAGCAAACATTTTGAATCCCAATCCAAACACCTTCTCTGCAGATCTGCTGAGTTTTCTTGAACTGTTTTCGTCAACATGAAACCAAATGTGAAAATGCTCGTGGATGAACTAAGTTTCATAAGAACCCACAAAAATTTATGTTCGGGAATTAAATTTGGGAATTAACATAGTGTTGTACATTTGGCTCACTTCCCCCAAATCTTTCGAATTTATATTTCTCCTGTATCAGCATTACAAGTAAGGTGCAAGGAAATGGAAACTTTAACAGCAAGTGTTATAACCAATAATCTAAAACATCAAAAATTGCTATTAATATTTCAATGCTAGTATTTGTGTTGGCAAATTTCAGATACTTTATGTGATTTTCTTTCCATCTGAGGATTACAGACAGAGGTCTAGTAGTCTACGAGCAGTCTACAACTAATAACCAGGAACTCCTGAGTTTTCATCCTCATTTTGACAATAAACTTCCTCTGTTGCTTTGGGTAAGTCACTTAACCTTTCTGTCTCAGTTTCTCTATCTGGAAAATGGAGATAATAATACTTACATGCATCCGTGGGATTTCATGGGGATGAATTAGCTAGCAGGCCAAATCCTGCTCACCATACTCACATTAATCTGATTTCCCTGAGTGAGTAAGCAGGAGTTTGTCCAATGTTTATTAAGTGCTGTAGCAGTGCTAAGTATTATTACCATGTAGTAGTAGTTTGGATAGCTCTGCTGAGGGTGTGGGGAAAGGTTACTGAAAAAAGCAATAATATTTTATTTTTTTTCCAGCACAGCATAACATGAAACAGGAGCTAAAGGCATTAAATACAATTTCATAGCAATTTGAGACAAAAGAGGTGTTTTTGTTTTTTTTATGATTTTCATTCAAAAATGAAAATCATTTGCAACTGGCATTCTTCATTTCTAGTCAACAGAAGTTGTTAAGCAAGGAGCACATGATTTCATGCATTAGAGGAAAATAAAGCAAACTAATACAAGCATGCACACAACAACATGAGCAAACCTGTGTCTCAGGGAAGCTGGAATTGTCCATTACAGGAGATAACATTGTGAATGTTCCTTTTGTTTATTTGTTTTTGCTATTTTACGAACAGAAATCACTCCAAGGCATTCTAAACACAATCTTAAGAACTTTCACAAAATTGTCTTTTCACTGAATTTACAGAAAAGGAAATCTTCAGACTGGTTCTGATTTGTGAACGTGTGCTCAATAATTGTGAGGGGGAAATGATCTGGTACAGTAGGGAAGCTGGTCTCTTTCCTAGTCTCTTAAGGTCAGCTATTTTATTTTTACTAGGCTGCTTTGTCCAATGCAAATGCCATGTGAAAAATGTCTTGGCATAGGAGGCATGGAATCCTCTTTGCTTTTTAAGGAGTGTTTGTTAAGGGAGGGTGATCTAGAGGAATGTTTATCCAATTTTAATAATGACTTGACCTAACATACCACATTGGATACTATAGGTGAGGCACTGTCAAAGTCTACTATTGAACAGCTTGTAATCATACTGTAAATAGAGGAGAACATAGAGATGATGGAACAGACTGAGATAATGGGGGAAAGGAAGAATGAAGAAAAGAAATGAAATTAATAAACGGACTATAACTCTAGTTACGTTAAATGACAGGGTATTTCAACTTCTGCCAGGGAAAATATATATCTTGCTTTAGAATTTCAGTATTGGACAACACTTGACAAGCAAGAACGTATAGGCTTATGGTCTGGTGTGGTTAATCAATAACGCATTTAGTGCTTACTCTAAAGTAGTATCATGTTGTGTATATGGAGTGCATTACCACGAGCACTATAAAAGGCTGGAATGTGCTAAATTTATTTGAGGAAGACAAAAGAAAATGCTAAGGATGCACAGATCAGATTTGTGATGATTTAGAACTAAACTAAAGTGCTAGGACAAGGAGTTTGGGACAGAATGTGTATTTTGTTAGTTTACTTTAAATGTCTTACCAGCTTTCTGAGAGAGATTACCACACTGTCTAAAGATGCATGCAACTTGATGTGACCCTCTTATAATACCTTAGACAGCAATATCAAAAGAAAACCAAAATTTGCATCTGCATTTTCTCTCTGAGGTCATAGTTAAAATAAGACAGACAACTTGTTGTAGTTTGCACACTTCAGATAGTTCAACTGATGACATTTGGACTCTCACAGCTTTGGACTCTCACAGCTCCTCAGACAGTTCATACAAGAGGAAAAATGCAGACAAAGGCAGTTGGGTACATTATGCCAGAATATTATGTAATGAGGGCACATACTGCACACTAGCGAAATGGCAAATACCTTTGCTGCTCTGATTAAATACTGAAGAATAGTTTTGGGCAGTTTAATGATAGACTTTGGCAAGGCTAAAATGGCTGAAGCAAATTTCCCAATAGCTCTCTACAAAGGACGACAAAGGAAGAGCAATTAGTAGAAAAAAGGAAAAGTATTAATAAAAAGTTATCTTCTGTATTATTGTAATTATATAATTGTTATTAAAGGGTTTACATTAATTGAAAACAAATGTGTTATTTGCCATAAACTTTCAGTTAGATAATTATTGAGCTTTTGTATTACCCTAATAAATAAAATGCTTATATAAAGCATTATCTCTAAGTCCATAAATGTAAACCCTAGTGAATGGTCAAGCTGATAAAGATATCATTATAATCCCATGACAGATGATTGTTAGAGGCAATTTATGGTAAAGGCAAATAGAGTAGTTAAAAGTAAATATTTAGTAGGGTCTATAACAAACAGCAAGTAAATGTTAGTATTGTACTAAAGCTACACACATACACAGTAATGGAAGTTGTATGGAACGTGGAAAGCTGACCAAGCAGTTGACAAGCTACTCACAAGCTAACATACTTTTCTGCCTCAACCCAACTCTCTGGCAAAAATGTACAGTATTAAGAGCCATATTCCACCCTCAGTTCTCATGTGCACAACTGGAGATGCGTGCATGGATCAAGAGCCTTATATGGTCACAGCTACTGGGTAAGGGTAGGATCCTCTAGTCTTAGAAAGCAATGATTTCAGTCTTGAACGGTAATGTTTTAACAATATGAAAAACAAAGGACAATATCAAGTATTTGAGACATCAAATTTAGGTTTTGTTTAAAAGCTAAACATCTGGCACCACCTAATATTAACAATTACGGTCAGCTTTAATGTATGAGAGTATGTTATGAGATGCTTTTATCTTAACTCAAGATCTCTCAGTAAGAACTTTAACTGACAAGCACATTACTGTAAAATACCTGGAATGCAGATCTCCTCCGAGGTTCTTCATCATCTTTTTTTTCATCCTCCTCTTCTTCTTCACTATCCGTCTCAAATAAATAATAATCTCCACTTCTGACCACTAAATGAAACAAAATATTTGCTTATTTCTTGTAAAAAAGGAGCTCTAGTCTGAGCTGAGCCAAAGATGTATAAATAACCAGCCAGTCATTAACGGACTCCAAAGCAGGAGAAATGGAGATGAACCAAGAGATGAACAGGACTCGGTGTCGGACAGATTAATTGGTGTTAGAGTATGTGGTACTTTGGGCATGACAGAGATAAGAATAAACTAAGAAAACATCACCACAAAGAGGAACAGGGCTGGCAAAATGTAAAGAAAAAGCTTGCAGTAGACCAAGTTATTACGTTAAACTATTTGACAGGAACTTGATACATGATTAAACCTAAATGTATCAAGGATTGATGGTTGCTTTCATTTGTTAGAGAGTAAAATAATCTCAGCAGGTAAATTAATGATTTTACATAAATTGTACAACTGGACAAAGAGTACAGAACTGCTTTTTTAAATGCTGAGGCATCCTTTAAAAACTACATAATGGGATGTCTGAGTTATTTTCTTCGAACTTTTAAGCTTTGATGAGGTAATGGAAAACCTTGGCTTGTTTAAAATGAATCACTTTATTATTATTAAACATGATCACAAATAAGGTTTTTGCCCATGGATTCAGAAAGGTTCTGAAACCTCCATACATTAAAGATGCAGCGTGAATGAACTGGGCCTTATATCCTTGAACAGAAGCATTATTTTGGTATGTAATAAGGTAACAGGCCTAACATGAATGAACAAGGGAAACAAAAGAAATGAAAAATAAGATGACGAGCAAGAGAAAAAACAAAGTCATGGTATTACGTTTGGCAGTGAAGAATGGTAAAGTAATACCTGCATGTAAACGGAAAGATTTTAAAGGAATAGTTACTTAGACTAAATATCACATAGTCACCTAAGACATATGGAACAATATATATTTATATAAAAAGTGTACATTTAACCCTCATTATAAACCTCTAGAAAAATAAAATTAGCTTCAACCCTAGTCAATCATACCTAGCAGTCTGTATGTCTCTTTTCTGCTCAGATGGACACTAATAAATCATATTAAATCTTAAACCTGAGATGAAAGTTGCCAATTCTCTATCCAAACATAGACATGGTATAAGTTGCCATTAAAAACAGAGGCAGTCATGTCTGCTCAGGTGGACCTCTGGGGCTGTGCAGATCTCCATTTAATCAATGGGGCTCTGTGGGATTAAAAGTCCACCTGAATGGATCTGATTGCAGAATTGGGATCACAAATCTTGACTAATACAAACATGTTGAAACAAGTAAAAATATTTCACACAGGCCTCTAAGAATGTCCCCAGAAGAGATGTTAAAAATGAAAGCTTACAGAGATGTTCATAATGTAAGGCCCCTAACCTGGAGCTGTTTTTCAGGAAAAATTCCAGTGGGGCTGATAACCGAAGTTGTCCCCACAGACAGGCCAGCAGGATGAGATCCACAGTCTGTGTGATACTTAGGGGTTAATATATTGCAGAGTATTGCTTGGTATGATCTGTCATACAGTAGCAACTACAGGCCCCCTTAAGTCTGGAGCCCCACTGTGCTGCGGTATTGTACAAACACTCACGTAAATTCTCTCTCACTGCTGTGCACTCCAATATTTCTGAAGAGACAGTAATGTAACAAAACATTCCTCTAACAGCTAATAAGGAATGTTTTAATTGAAAAAGAAAGTATGACTGAACACCACCACCACACTCTGGCAGATACATCTTAGGATGGAACAGAGAGCACATTAACTGCCTAAGGGCATTATTAAAACATTTAATAAGTAAAATAATTAATGGCCAGATTTGTGCCCCATGAATCCACTTACAGATCCCCTCCCCCATTCCCATTGAAGGAGGGGATTTTGTGGCAACATTCCTCTTTTTTCCCCATGCGTCATAGAGAACTCTGCACTGATGTGGGAATTTGTAAGGGAGGAAGGGGCAGGTCAAGGGAGGAGTAGGGCTGGAGGAGTGGGAACTGTACTATTTTCTCCTCCCCACCCATATTGGGAATCCCCATTTGGGAGCTATCGGGACAGCTGGGAGCTGTCTGCATCACTCCATTAGAGCAGAACTGTTAAGGATGGGGATACACAGCCAACAGAGAAGCAAGGAACCTCTATGGAGTTGGCTCTGGCACCTGCTGATCCATTTAGGGCTCAGGGGTCTGTTCCACAGGAACTGGAGGAGCCCTGCTTCCCTCATTGGAACAGTTTGGGAGACATCTCACTGAGGAAAATCTCACAGATGTTTCCCATCCCATTGTCAGAGTGTGATTAGAAGGTATCTGAGTGCATAACTGTATAAACGAATGAATGGTCCAATTAGCAAACATCAGAACTGGTATCAAACACTGAACTCCAGTAGCGCAGGCTCCTCAACAGAAGTAAACACACCTACAGGCATAAGCCAAAACACTAAAAAGGACATCTCTTTAGCTTTTTACGGAAAGTGGGTATAGAAATACTAACAAGTATTTACAAATGGTGGCCCTTCCATGGAGAAGACCTTTCTTTCAGTCTATATTAATATCCAAATTGTGGGCCTGATCCTGCAAACACTTACTACAGTAAGTACTATTGTGCTTTCTACTCTGTATAGTCCCCTTTATTTGAATGGACACGGTAGTGAGTCTGCATGGCAGGGCATGCAGTGTCTGTAGGCTCAGGCTACATGATGCTTTCCATAAATTTCTGCATTATTGCAATAAATAATTTAAATAATGCTCACTGCTTAAACACCAAAATTCATGTTGTTCCCTAAGAACATGATATAATGAGGGTGAAATGAATCAGAAATTGCTGAAATCAAGGCCTTATTGGGCAGTTCTTCTGTTTACTACAAAACCAGTATGAGGGTTAAGACAGACCATATCCAATTCCTTCCAAAAATATTGTAGTTTAAAATTGTAAGAAAACAGTTGCTAATTGTAGCTTGTGTTTATTTTGTTGTTGTTTTAAATGAAACTGAAATGACAAGAAGCAAGCTTTTGAAAAAGGATAGGTCTCTCTAAAGCAATATTATGCTCTTTAGAAACAGAAAGACATAGGCACAGTTTACTTGTGACTTGACAGAAAAAGGCATGTAATATACTACCGTATAAAATACTGTCGGCAAGAACACACATACACAAAAATATGGAAGTGGACACAAAGACCATAAAAATATGTCTGAAGGGAAAAAACAAGCAACTCTTGAGGTGCAAGATTGAAAGTGATAATTCATAAATGTTTCAAATGTTTCAGTTTAACTTTGCACTCTGATCAGTACCATATACTCAGTGATGAGCTCCCAAAATCCTAATAATCAGTTCCCTACTGGGTTCTCGGTGGCACTTCAGTGGCGGGGGGAAGTCTTCACTCGCTCCGGGTTTTCAGCGGCATTTCGGCGGCGGGTCCTTCACCCAGAGCGAGTGAAGACACGCCTCCACCCCCCGCCGCCGAAGTGCCGCCGAAGACCCGGTAGGGAACCGCGCTGTGAATACAAGCACCACGTGCCTGTCTCCCCCTCCATCCGACCCCAACCCACGTCCTGCCCCCAACTGCTCCCCTGAGAACCCGCAACCCATCAACCCCCCTGCTCCTTGTCCCCTGACCCCCACTCCCGAGACCCCCCCACCCTAACTGCCCCCCAGAACCCCACCCAACTTGCCCTGCTCCCTGTCCCCTGACTGCCCCGACCCCATCCACCACCACCCCGAAAGACCCCCGGAACTCCCACGCCTATCCAACCCCCTCGTTCCCCATCCCCTCACCGCCCCCCAGGACCTCCACCCCCTCCAAGTGCTCCCTGCCCCTTATCCAACCCCTCCTCCCAGCCCTGGCCCCGCCCCCTTACCATGCTACTCAAAGCGGCAGGAGCTGCAGAGCTGCCGAGAGCGCTGGCGCCGGTGGGAGCGGGGGAGGTGCCGGGGGAGCCTCCCCAGCTGGGAGTTCAGGCGGGCTGGACAGGACAGTCCCGCGGGCCAGAGTTTCCCCACCTGCCGGCCCCTTTAATAACCGGTTCTACACCGGCTTCTAAATTTAATAACCGGTTCTACACCGGCTTCTAAATTTAACAACCGGTTCTTGCGAATAGATGACTTCTGTGAGCTAAGATCTAGTAATTGGACACATGAGTTTAGGTAATTAAGTGCCATACCCTGTTCTCTTCTGATTTATAAAGGGTGTAAATTAGGGTAGAACTGTCCATGTATTATCAGGCTAGCTGTACTGAGTTTTAGGGCTGTAAAGGAATTAAAAATATATTACGTATGTGTTGTATTATATATAATATTGAACCGAATTCTGCTCTCAATGAAACCTGTGTAAATCCTAAAATAATGGCGTAAACTAGAGTCAATAGAGAACTCCATGTTTATCCTAGTGAAAATGAAAGCAGAATTTGGCCAAACAAGTTTGATAACAATTTGAGCTCAATCTGCAAATGTGGGAACCTTAATGGGATGTTAATTCTCACTTAGGCACTAAATGACTTTTTTTTTTTTTGGCATGTTCAGATGATTAGATGCTTATCTAGTTGTCTAAATCTGGGATGTAGATGGCCGATTAGGTGCACACTGCTGAAAACTGGCTTCACAATGGGCTGGATCACAGCCCCATTGAAGTTAATGAGAATCTTTCCATTGGTTTCAATGGGCTTTGGGTCAGGGAGTATTTAAATACAACAGTATTTATTAAGCAGTTCTGCTATTTTAAAAAAATATTATTTAAATAGAGAATCTCTACATTGTGAAGGGATGTCTCCTAAAGTTTTCCCAGAAAAAAAACTTTGATTTCCTATCCCCAGTTTAGTAAAAACGAGCACCACTGAGAGAATATCAGCTACACAGGATAGGGGCAATTTTGTGCCAACTGCAATGAAGTAATGAAGATAATTTTTTTGGCGGAGAGGGACCTATGGAAAGATTTGACATGAGGAAGAAGTTGAAAAGACCAGAACTTCTCACCAGCATTATTATAATAAACTTTTTGCGAGAATGGCTCTCTGAAGTCTCACCAACAAGTTCAGAGATTTTGGAAGAAGAGCTTCATGGGCACCATCAGTTCCTATCTCAGAATCATGAATACATTTCTAGGCCTCACATTTAAATGCTTTCTATTTATACAAGGTGAGATTTTCTAGAGCCTTTAGCCTAACTCTACCCTCACTGAAGACAACAGTAAATCTCCAATTGACTTAAGTGGAAACAGAGTTAGGCAAAGTCTCAACACTTTTGAAAACATCACACCAAATCAAGGTTCGCATGGTTACTGAGGGACTCATCCTACAGTTCTTATTTAGGCTAACTTCTCATTGACATAACTGATTAGTGTGATTTTTAAATAAGAATATTTCCCATGCACCTGGCTTAATCCCATTCTCAGTGAAGGCCATGGTGGTCTGTGCATGAGATGACAATTGGTGAACCATCTATCTTTGAAAAATAAAACTAGTAAGGACTAAGCTCCAGCCCCGAATGCATACGATTAATCAGTATTGGCAAAACTTCCACTCTCAAATTTAAAACCATTTTATCATCTTTTCAGAGGCTCCCCCTTCTTTGTGTGTGAGGTAGATTCTTTTGGTTCATGTTTTTCTTTGACTTGATATCATTGCAAATGGTCAGAAATACCTACATCTGCGTTATGTGCAAATACAGAACATTGCTTATTTGGCCCCTTGAGGTTTAAAGTTGAAATCACTGGTTTATACAATCAAGAACTCTATCAAGTCACAATCATAAAACCATGCATAAAACAAACAAGTTGTGGGAATGCCTTCATTCTGGTCAAGGATATAAGGGGTAAATCCATGTATTTGTAAGATGATTGAGAAAACCTACTGGAAGCATGATCAACCCAAGGCCGCCACCACAGCTTTTTTTTGCCCTTGGTTTTCTCTTTGTCTGCTTCTCCTAAAATAAAATATGGCCAAATATTAATTTTACAAAATGAGAAACACATTTTTACACTTTGTTTAATCACTTATTTTTTGCAATAGATCTAAACTGCATAAGCACATCAGATTTCAACTCTATTAAATATACTCAGTATGAATAATATTCATGATTTAAGAGGTAGCCCAGAATGCTAATGATTTATCTTACACAGTAAATAAAAAAAATATAGTATTCCACTCCAAGTACAATAAAAAAGTTTATAGTTTATACACACACACACACACACACACACACACACACACACACACACACACACAACAAAC